TTAAGGTATGTCATGGCCAATGGAATTGATAGGGGATGGTTTATTTGGATTAGTCCTGGGTATATAATTGGAATAATCTCCGGATCTTGACTCTTGTTACTGGATTACCAAAGAATCAAGACTCTTTAAGGTCATTGTTAAACTTGTGGCCTTTATCCAAATTAAGAATTCCATTCTTGTAATGGTATTCTTGTGAGGAAATGAGTAATTATTAAACATTTGTATATAAATATAGTTCATATAATGCCAAATAAATTAACTAATCTAATCATAATATGGTATGATTTTTATAATCCAAAATCAAAATTGATTATTATTCTTTTTGAACTTATAAATCTTTTGAGTTCTTATATAAATTTAATAGATTTAAAATTACAAATATCTTTTTAACAAAAATTTAGATTAAAATACAATAATTCTCTCAATATTATTTTTATATTTAAATAATTAACTTACGATTTCATCTGCATTACAAATTCATATTGGTTGGCTAGCATAATGATGGGGATATGTTATGGAAAATGTGACAGAAGGAGCTCAATGAAAAACATAGATGAATGATATTTATGACTTAGTTGATGGAAATTATCTTCCATTAGCACTATTTACTGATTGTGATGACAGAATGGTATATGAAGTTTAAAGAAATAGATAAATCCAATCTAAGAAGCATTCATTTGTTTATGGAAAAGAGAACTCATCTGATGTCTAGGATAAAGCTTAGTTGATGAGGGATTAGAATTTATTAGGGAATAAATAGAAAAATAATAGATTTTTTAGATTAATTTCTGGTAACAAGATCAAATAGCGAAAGCGGAGGGACTGGGTCTGGATTTTTTCTTTATTAATGAGCAATTTAATATGGATTATGAAAATAAAGGAAAAAAGAATATTTTTAAACTAATAATGATTTTGAAATGGATAATATTATGTTTGAATTGATATAACGATGGAATATTTTGATAATATGATTATCTTTGAAAATTAGTTAATCTAAAATTTGATTGATTAACAATTAGATTAAGTTTATGTAGATTATTCGAATTTAGTAATTTGATTGAATAAATAATTAGTTCATACACTTAAGTAAGAAGATTTAACAACAATAAATATTCCAATTTTTTTTAAATATGTGTCCATATCATGATTTGCCTATTTCATTCCTTCATATGGGAAAATGAGTCTAAAAAATGATTGCACTAGAAAAAAATAAAATCAGAATACATAAATTATCTCACAAAAAAGAAATTAAACTTTATGATATTTCAAAAAATTTATTATTTAGATATAAGGAAGAGAACAATGTTTATGGCAAAGGTAAATTCAATTTCTTGTTGCTTTAAATTTAGAACATATCTTTATATAAAGCCCCAGAATTTTTCAATTCAATTCACTTCATCTAAATTCTAAATATTACCTGAACTGGCTGAAATGAAATAATCTGGAATATTCTTCTCAAATGATGCTTCAATTATTAGTAGATTTAAGTTTTAGAAAAAAAGTTTAAGGAAAGTAATCATAAAGATCTAAATTAGAAATTTGTAGCTCTAAAGGAAATATAGAAAGTAATTTTTATAATTTATAATAGATTAAAAGATAGCTTAAGATTTCTTCAGTAAAATTAGATTATTTTATGAACATAATTGAAGAAAACATTAAATCCATAATTTTAAAAGAATTGTACTTTCAATACAAAATATTGGACCTAAAGAAAATAATAATTTATAAATTTTGTTTTTAATTGGGATATGCTTGATAAATTAAATGCCTGTTAATTAATTCTGATTAAATTCAGGATTATGATAAATAAGTATGAAGAAACTTTAAAACTGCAATTATGTAGGGGGTAATAAAATGATATTATTTATAAATATCATTATTGATTATTATTAATGTTTTCTAAAATTCATAATTTAAGCTGAAAACTAACTTTATTTTTATATGTTTAAGCTACAAAATCGTGCGTAAATATAGATCTTTTTATATCATCCTAAGTTAATATTGTTTTATTGACTTCTTTCTCAATTCCTCTAATTACATCAAAAATTATCCATTTGTATCTCTTTTCTAATTAAGGCCTCATCATATTCCAATCTTCAAAATCACTATTTTCTTCTTAAGGGGAATAAAATAGATAAGAAATATAATAAGATTTTTTTGGAGGATAATAATATTAGTATTTATTTGGTCTTTAAGTAAATTCACTTTTTCTTATTAATTTTCCTTTTAAAATATCTATAAAAAGGAGAATATTCTTATCGTAATCGGATGCAATAACAAAAGCCTTATTAAGTATATACACTGGACGATAAGATTCATAGTTATAATTCCTAAGGACTTTACAATTTTCTCCCATTCTAATAATAATAAATAAACCATAATCATCCAAAAGAAGCCCAATAGAATCATAAAGTAAATAAAACCGAATATTGTAATCAAGATATTTATTTAATATTGGACAGATCTGAAATTTCTAACATTTAGATTAATCAATTGTGTAATCTTCAAAATTGATTGGTTATTTAATTATTTCACCATCTGATTGTATATAAAAAAAACACTTAGATTTCTCATCATATTCTATCCGTAATAAATGTTAATCAAATTGAAAGATTGAAACATTTTAACAATCATTTTAAAGATCAAAAAATAAATATCTTGATCCTTTTTCATTTTTAGAAATATCTATAATTGCAACATTACCATCATTTGAAAATTATGGTTTTTGTTATCCTATAAAATAATTTATGTAAAATTATTTCCTAACCTCTTAATTCTTAATATCAATTACTATCATTCTATATGACTCTTTCTAATTTACCATTTTTATATCTACACATAAAAATATAAATTAATGATTTGGACTTATTACCATATATTATACAAAAAAAAATGAAGTTTCTCCTTGATGTTACTAAAAACTACTATCAAGGTCAGAAATATTATCTATCTCATAGTCTTCTACATCTAACTAAATTTATTCTCCTTGTTCATTTAAATAACAATAATTAATATTCAGATCATCTGGACAAATAAAATCTTTGGAATCGCCATCTATCAAGTAATGATTTTCTATCAAGCAATCATCAACTTTGTATTCTAATTATTCACCTTCTCGAAATTTGAATGTGAAATTGACAATCCCACAAATTTTTTTATCTTCTCTTTCAGTCTCTATTTAAGACTTCAAATTATCCTCTTTTTATGATTTACTCATAAACAGAAATATTTTCTTTAATTTAAATATTAGATATTTTATGAGTTTGTTCAAATATTATTTTTCATTAATATAATCTTGAAATCAACTTTCATAATTACCTTTGTTATACCTAAAATCTAAAATACTAATACTCTAAGAATCAATTATTTTAGAATCATAAATATGAATATTTCATAAATCCGAATAAATTTAAAGCTTTAAAGTACTGATTGTAATATAATATGTAATAATTCTCATATTTTTGAAGAATGCATATTTTATACAAATAAATTCATTTAAACAACTATTAAAGTTGAAAGAAATTGAGTAAATAAGTATTAATATTCTTTTCCATTTAATCTTCCTCAAAATATTAATTCAAAATTGATTTATAAATTAAATTATTAATTTGTTTAAATAATTTTATATTAAATGATATTAGTGATTATTTAAAGGTTTCATTACCAAAAAAATAAAGGTCTTAAGTTGAATTAAATTTCTTCAATTATGTAGATCAAATAGAAATTAAGCAATAAAAAAGATTGAATATTTAAATTAAGAATTAAATAGATATCGAAAAGCTTTAAGGGCTTGAAATGCAATCTAAATATTTCAAGTCTAAGAATTCGAACAAAAATAATTAAATTATTTAAATCTACCTTTTATATCCCATTCAAATCCATTAATTATGTCAAAATTCTATTTGGACATATTTTTCATGTAAATAATTTAATTGCCTTTCAAAAAGCTAATTTTCTAAAATTGAAGGTGGGTTTAAATTGGTTTCAAAAAGATTTCTTATATGTTATCATTGTGCAAAAAAATAACGTTTTTTTGACTTGACTTTTATATGCATTATTTAATTATTCTTACATCAATTAATTTATATTTGAAGATTAGATTAAATGATATTTTTTCAAAAGGGAAAGAGGTGATTCTACTTATTTTTTCATTTTGCATAAAAGAATTACTCTTATAATAATAAAGTTTGCAAGCCAGCTCATAATTTCAATCTAAGGGAAAAATTGGCTTATTAAATAAAACGAATTGTTTTAAGGTTAAATAAAATATCTAAATAGATTAAAAAATATTGATAAAAATTTAATTATTGTCTATGAATGATCACACTTCATATGTGACTCAAATCAGTTAAAACATTATTAGTTTTAACTAATTATATTGTTTGTTTTGACATAAGGAAATTGAAATAAACATCATTATTTAAAAGGTGTTTCCATGAACAGTTTTCTAAAGAAACTCAGAATAATTCAATAATAGAAATACTCTCCTTAAGATATGTCATGATGGTTCCTATTATTTCATTTCTTTGGTGAAGTTGCTATCGATAAACTATTTTTTCAACTTTTCTTATTCAAAAGAAATTCCCCAACATTTAAAGGGTTTAAATCAGATTAAGGCTACTGTATCTTTTGATGTTATAGTAGAATTCCTAGTTTATAGAAGTAAAACCAAAAATTTTATTTTAGACCATTTAATTGGTTAAATAAGACTGTGTGGCTATTTTGAGAAACTTATTAGATACAAATCTTTGATAGTTAGTTTTATTTATCAAATTAGTAGTTTATTTGTAAAGTTTAGAAGTGGAAATGTTAGAATTAATAAATTTTTACTTTAGTTTAATACTTTTTAAGAGAAACCTTGTAAATTTTGACTTTAAAGTTTTAAAAAGAAAATCTGTTTAGTTTTACAAACACAACATTTATTCAATTAATTTTGATATTTGTTTCAATCAAGAAAATATACGAATATTTAATGTTGATTTGGTCATGAATTCAAGTATCAAACAACATAAAAAATATTGTTTTTAAATAATAAAACTATCTCATAAAGAAATAATGTTTAGTATTTTCTATCATAATTTTTGTAATTTTTATTAGTTTTACTATGAAAATACTAATATTTATTAATAACTATATTTGAAAAATCAATTCTAAATATTTAAAAAAATAATGATAATAATATTCATAATATTCAGTCGTTGTTGATTTCTTTAATTTTGCTTAATCTCATATAGTTACTAGGTTATACTGATATACAAATCTTAAAGTCAATTTAGGTACTACATGTATATTGGGCTATATAATAAACTATTTTTTACTTAAAGATAGAATTATTTTTGTTTGTATCAATTCCATATGCTATCCTATGCAATTCTTTGGACCTGCTGAAAAAGGAATGTAAAGCAATATTAGATTCAAGTTTATCTATATGTGAAGTTGTCATTATTTACGATTGGCTCAGGGGTTAGCCATCTTTTATTATCAAAATCTTCAAGGTTTATAAAATGTTATTTAGAAACTGATTGCAACAATGTGAATATCATCCCATATGTGTTCCTCAGTGAATGTATTAAAATTTCTTCTCTAATTTTCTATTGGGCTTCTGAATGCTATGCAAAAAAGTAAAGGTAATGATTACATAAAACTTATGTAGTGATTGTATCTGCAAATAAATACCGGTGTAAAATATTATCATATCTCATCAATAGCTTGGCATACTAATTTAGAATGATAATTGTTGATGTAATCTTAAAGGAGAACATGTACAAATAAGTTTGACTTTGTAATTCTATAGCTTTATTGTGTATACTATCAACCTATTTTTAATGAATTTTGTAATTTTTATTTTTGGTCAATCTTTTACTAAATTTACTTTTCCATTTTAAGTTGAGAAAAAATTAAAGTCTAAATATAATCTTAATTAAATATTAACTGATACCTAAATTGAGTCTTTTGACATAAACATATTAAGATTTTAATCTTACATCTCCCGTATCATATAGTAATTCTGCTATCACTACTTTAATAACTTTTTAAAAGATTGTTATTTTCTTAGCAGTATCTCCAAAAAGCTTTTTATTACTATTAATCCTGTTATAAGCTCTAGGGTAATATAAGAGAGATAAATATACAATATTGGATAGTAAAAAAAATCAAAAAAGGGGTGATTATTGCATGAGTTTGCTTTAAATTCATTTTATAGAATAAAACGATATTCTACCTTTTGCTCTGCAATTATATTTAATGAAAAATATTTTTGCAACTACTGGTAATCATTATAATAATTATTTTATGTCTCTACTAAGTAAATTTAGAATCTGATTTTGACTTCGAAAGATGGGCTCTGAAACATGGGAAAACACTATATTGTAGATGAGAAATCATAGTGTCATGAAGCAGAATATGCCATTAAAAAAGGAATAAATGTAACATTATCAGCACAGAATCTCATGGATTGGATTGTAGGTTTGGTGAAGTAGGAGGAGGAGCATGAGATGATTCATGGGAATTTCATGAAACTACAAGTGCATATATGTATGCGAGAAATTAAGGGATTTTAACTGAGTCTGAATATCCATATACTGGCAAATCCCATAGCTGGTGTAAATACTCATGATTTGCATCATGGAGTATTATATCGTGCATTAAGCATGACGGTGTAAATTTGTGTTTTTACTATTCATTACGAGAACATTCTTTATAAGTAATAGTTGATGCTAGTAGATGGTAATCTTATAGTTCTGGAGTATTATCTGTTTGTAGTTTTATATATAAAAAAGCAAATTACTTTTCATTAGTTATTGGTTAAGATGGATTTGATAATTGGAGAGTTCAAGCATCATTTGGAATATCTTGGGGAGAATTTGGAACTATTAGATTAGCATCAGGAAATACTAGTGGTCTACAATTGTTTTTTTGTAAGATTGTGGCATAAAATAAATTTTCCCATATTTACATGCATAATCAAAATTGCAAATTATATGTTTTTGAAAAGGAATTTTTATTTTTTTATAAAATACCATAATCATTAAATCAATTCTAAAACTATATTTAAAAAAAAAAAGAAGTTTTGTTTTATATATAATTCAATATTATTTAAATTTCAATTTTAAAACTAAAAATAATTTAATTTTTATAATTATTAAGGTGATCATTATAATAATAGCACTCAAAAGATAATTAATTAAAATTTTATAGATTATTAAAAAGATCAATTTAAGGTATTCTACATACTGTTTTAGTTAAGCTTACCCAAAATTTTCTTTTTTTACTTAAGTCTATTTTAATTCTAAAGTAATTATTTTTTGTTTTAAATTACTTATTTTTATCAATTATTTTTACTGCAATCTCTTTCTCACCATAAAAAATTATCATGAGCCGACATAATATATGAATTCTAAATTATTTACTTAACATTCAGTACGACCCTTTAGATTTATATTAATTATTATGATATCAATATTACATCAAAAATTTAGCCCTGTCTCACCATTCACTGATCCACATTAAGTTACAAATTGATCTATGAAATAAATTAAAATAGATATTCATATATATATTTATAATTTAAAGAATCTTTATTTTAATCTAAGATTGGTAATTTTTACATAAATCTTTTTTTACTATTCTTAAAGTCTAGCTTTAGTAGACCTGCATGTTGGGTTATAATTACTGCATTGGGATTCATAATTATTCTTATCTGAGTACTAAGAATAATTAGCTGCATTTGAAGCTGAAGAATTCCAGCATCAGACTCATAATTTGGTCTATTTGTTGTTATTTTTAAGAGCATTACACTATTTTTATTAGATTGAGATATTGAATTTTAAAAAGTAAATTCACTTTCAGTACTTAAGTATCATCTATTTAAAGAGCACAGAGAACTAGTCGAAAATTGCATAGAGTTGGTTGCTTAAACTATGATTAAGAAATTTTACTAAATTATAATGAATTCATATTATATGTAATTTTTTAGACAAGGTTTACTTACTATTTTTCTACTGCACTAATTATGTTATAGAATCAAATTATTAATCTGTAAATCCAGATCTTATGATCACTATTGGATTTTATTTAACATATGTAATAATACAACAACCTCCCTATTTCAAACACATTTGCTTTATATTCAATGCTTTCATTCCATATTCTGACTATGACCTATCATATACATTTAGGTTTTATAGTTTCGTCTTTTAGATTGGGATTTATAAATGGTGGATTATGTATTAACGAAGATTACTATTAAATAAATTCTCTTTTTTTATATATTTTTATTTTATTTAAAACAAATTCATTATATTCTTTATATTCGAACAGATTTTGCTATTAATTATAAGATGAGTATATATCATCAATATACAATCTTTATTAAATTTATATTAAACTAAATATTTAAGAAAAAAAAATACATATTTTTCAATCACAATTTTGAACACAAAAAGCTATAATTATACTTCATTCAGCTATGAAAGGGGAATTAAATTCATATTTTAAATAGATTATATTCTCTTTATATTTATTGCTAATTCATTAATGCTTAAATTCAGTTAAAATTAATTTTATTGAAAATTTCATAAAGTTTATTTTAGGAAGAAAATAAATAATATAATTTAATTATCATTATAATTACATATATCTCACTTATTGTGTTTTTATGCCTGTATATATTATATTCAAATAAATAGAGATTAAAAAGTAGGTTGTGTTTCCTTAATTTTTTATTATTTCCAATTTTAAATAAATTATTTTAATTTAATATAAATTTGAAATCCATATTTTATTAATGGTGCCATTATTCCAAATAATAGCAGTCCAATTTATCCAAATCCAATCATTACTTGAGTTTCCAAGCTCAAGAAATGTGCAAAAGTTTCTTCATAAACTATATTAAGTAGAGTAAATAAAATAACAGGTATTTCAAACATTAGTATTAAAATTAAATCAATTTTTTTACTGACCATCCTGCCAAGAATAATAATTATTAAATAAAACGAATTGATCAATGAAATTAAAAATGACTGTGTTAAAGAGCTTTCTTGAGATCCAATTAATACTATAAGAAATAATAACTTTTTAGCAACAATCACCCCTTCATGCTTAAGGCTCTTCCTTTTCATAATATCAATTTACGAATCTTTTTATGAGAAAATTTAAGAGATTAATATTAAAATACAAGTTATAAAAGAATACGCAAGTATATTTTAGATATAATTTCTCAGATTATTTTCTTTTTTTGAGTAGAGATATATTAAAGTCTTAAAAAGAAGATCCCAACTATTTGCTTATATAACATATACTAGGCCTTTAAATGATAATATTTAATTAATAGTCATCCCTAATTTATTCAATTTATGTATGAATTAGATGACCTTTGATGATAAAAAAAATTTACTATTTTTGTAAATGAAAATCCTGAATTTATTATAGTATTTTTTAAAAAAGAGAAATAAATAGATTTTTGATGTAACGAGGAAAACTAATGTTAACCCTATTTGTACTATCAAACCCGATAAATTAGTGATTAAATCTGAATTTACATCATATAAAAGAAATTTTCCAAATGATTTTATTTATTCTGATCCAATAGTTGTATCAAGTAGATCTAGTATTTTTAGTTTTTCTAAAATAGGAATTACGGTTACTACTTAGGAAGATTCAAAATAAATCATGACATTTTCTGGAAAATTTGAATTAATATATTTTAGATTAGATTAATACTACATAGTATCCAAAACTTCAAAGCAATCTCCAGGATTACCAGATAATAAAATAATAAAACTAGATAGGCCGAGGCCAATAAGTATATATATATTTAAAGTACATATCTTATTAGAAATTATTCTTTGAGATTCACTTAAAACTATGGTATTCTTCAAATGCAATTTAAAAAATTAATTTTCAACCTAAAACCCATATTCATCAATTAATAATGCATCAAATTATACTTAAAAGTAAATTTCAGATGTTTCTTACTTTAACAATTAAATTTAAAATAAGTAATTGATATCTTTTAAAGTTGTATCATTAGGCTCTACTAATACATACTCATAAATAATATAATCTTAAGGATTCATATCAATTAAGGAAAATTTCAAATTATCTGTGAAATTTTATTCAGAATTTTGTAATTTGACTTTGCTTGTAATTTAAAATTAAATGAATTATGAGTCATTAGTTTAATTTAAATATATTAAATTAAGTTTAGGAGGTTTCATTTAAAGACATTAACTAGTCTTATAATTTATTTGTGTGCATTACCAATTAATTTCAATTTCACATTTATCAGAACATCCATCTTGAGATACTTAATTATTATCATCGCATTCTTCTAATTCTGATTTAGAACCATTGCCACAAACATCTATACAAATATTATTCTGAATTTCATAATCAAGTTCACATTTTAAACATTATCCATCTATACAATCTAAGCACTATTATGAACAAGAAAATTAACATTAATAGCATCCATCAAAAGGTATTTCATTAGCATCATCACATTATTCATTTGATGTAATTATTGAATCTCCACAAATTGAATGACATTAATTATAAATTAATTAATATCCTATTTCACATAAATTAGTCTAGTTATTATCTAAACATTTATCTTTATTGCAAATTTAACATTCATCTTTGCAGGAAAATTAACATTCATAACAACCATCATATTGAATGTTATTTCCGTCATCACATTATTCAAATCCTTCTACCACTATTCCATCTCCACAAATAGGAACACATATATAATTTTTAATTTCAAAATACTTTTCACATTATACAC